AATGTTTTTACCAATAGCAGTAACTCCTGTTTCTTTTTGCTCTTTTTTATGCATGTTGTGCATACTTTGGTACTTTTAAATTTTAAAAATGAATTAGCATTTCTTCGTTTCGTCAGTTTTCAGAACTACATTTTCCCAGCACACGTGCAAATCACAGTCTCGTCCCCTCCTGTCAGATCTCCAGGTGGCCAGTTTTCCACTGCTGTCATTCCCCACAGGCATCATTATAGACAGATTGGACTTCTGATTTTAGAAAAAAATGCTGAGTCAAAGAATATAAAAGATTTATTTAATTTTTAAAATTTGCATATCTGTGTCTTTTTAAAAACATATAAGCTCAAGGGAAGCAATCAAATGAAAGAAAAGTTATACAATAAAAAAGTTAAGCTCTTATCACAGGCCTCCAGTCCCTAAGACAAACGTCCTGCAGGAAAACATGGTTTTAAGTCCCATGACCGCACACGGGGGAGTCTGGGGCGGCGCTCGTCATCCGGGTGTGCGCGCGCGCGGAGTGTCTCTGGAGAACAGACCCCGTGCTGCAGGGGGCACAGGGCACACTCTGGAAACGTCTCCCTGCGTCCTTTCGCCCATCTGACTTCCCTTTTCTCCTTGCCATGTTATTTCCCTGAAAAGCTGTGCCGTTTATACGTCCACATTTTACCCTTTCAAACATTGAGACTTTAATGTGCCTAAATACATTGAGGAGTGAAATTTAGAAATGCCTTGTTATGGCTGTGTAGTTTAGCATTTTTCCTTAGTGTTGCTTCCTGGCTGTTTATAACCATTCTTATTTGACTTCTCATTTTCATACCTTACTCACCATTTAAAAATTAAGATCTTCATATTCTGGAGGATCATTTTATTTATGCTTTTTATATGTTAAGTATATTAGCCTTTTGTCATCCTCTTACAGATAATTGCATATCCTGTTTTCTCAGTCTTTTATTGCTTTTAAATTTTATTTGATTGTAAAAGGTCCAGTCGGCCATTTAACATTTTTGTATATATTTTTTCATTTCATGAATCATTCATTATCTTTTAATTGTGTATCTTTAAATTTAAAAACCCTCATTTTTAATGTTAAGTGGGATCCCCCACTCTTTGATTTTTTATAAAAGGTTAGGGTGTAGACCTGTCGACATGTGAATTACTACAGATTTTGAATGTATAAAGCCTGCTGAAAGGAGATTTGATTGTTAGAACTGGAGATAGAATTTGAATTGTGGTTTTGCCATTGCTGATTGTCCACTCTGTCTCCTAACAGATGTGAATGTGTGTTGATAGCTGAGGGTGTAGTACATAAAGGTCAGGTGTAATTATTGTTTTGAGGGCAGCCCCAAGTGGGCTCAGACTTGGCTATTTTCTGTGGTCTTCCCATTTTAACCTCTACCTTTGCTCTTTCTTTAAAGCTGAGCCACCTGTAGTGACCAGGGAATTAAAAAGGTATTGTGCCGCATCAGATACATTTTGTATTTCTGGCTTTGATTCCCTATTTAGAATTGTTGGCTATGATTTTGATAAGTCAGTCTCTGATAATCCAGTTTAAAATTCAAATGAAATGAAGATACATGATTCATGAATCACTGATACACTTTTTCAATTATCAATGTAATAATAATAAAAAAGATTGAATCTAGTTTTTGCAACCAATTCTTACTACACAATTTGATTTTTTCAAAGTAATGAGATCCTTGTTAAGTAGTCACTCTGTACTTTACCAAAAGTACTTAAATTTTTTAAAGATCATGAAACATAAAAAGGAAATATTAATTCAAAAGCTTATCGTTCAAATATTAGCAAGTTCAATGTTTATCTTTAAATTTTCCTGTTTAATACAAACTGGGTCCAAGTAAAAATGCTTCCTTCTTGTGCGTGGTGCTCTCCGGTTGCAGGGTGAGGGCCATGCTTCGATTTACCTGCATGTGTGGACAGTGTCCTGCCCCGCTTTCCTGAACTCATTTGTGTCCCACAGTGCCTTGTGTTGCAGAGCTTTTCTCCCAGAACTTCCTGGACAGTCTTATTTCCAGTGGCACTGGTGATTTTACCGTGGGGAGCTCTAGTTCCTGCTATTGCTGTGGGGGTTCCTCAGGAGCAGGACTGGGGACAGAAAGGAACATTGACTAGGAGAGGCTGTGGCCCTGGGATCCAGTCTGGGACTTGGTGGTCGGTGCTGGAGTGAGTTAGCCGAAATCGTGACTTTGGCTGCTACTTCCTGCTCTCTGATCCATCCAATAACACAAGCAAGGTATTCTTCCCATTTGACCAGAGAGGAAGCTAGGAGCCGGATAAACCGTGCCTTGTTCCTGGAGAACACGGGTATGATAAAAACAGATGGGGAGCTGAATGTCACTCTAGACACAGGCAATTTAAGAATGAAACATCTTGACAGAAACTTCAGACGGGAGTTTGGGGAAGTTGGTTTGGAACTTGGGACGGAGGATGGGACTGCAGAGGTAGGTCTGGGAGATTCTCTGGCGGTGGTATCAGGACAGTGTTCTGGAGTATGGTGGCAGCAGAGTTGATGCATCATTCAGCCAAGCACTGGCCATATGGCTGGGGGACAGAGCCTGCCTACCTGGGCACGTGGGCTTCCTGCAGAGGAGGTTACTGAGCATGGAGGGACGAGGTGGCATTATGATGGGTTTCCCCGCCCTGCCCACTCTGTCACCTGCTGATAACGATGAGCTGCCACTGCCCGGATTCCAAGGCAGAAGGGTGAGATGAACCCAGGAAAGGGCAGCTGAACCCCCAGTTATGTGAGGTGAAGCCCCTGTACCCCACTGGTTCCAAGCCCTTCCTAGTACAGTTTGTGGAATCACTGTCTAGACCCTCAGAGAGGAAAAAGTGGAATGATTTCTTTTAATTTTAATTATAATTAGATATCCTTTATTATTTAGTTAAGGAAAAATCAAATATATTAGCATCTTTATGTTACAGAGAAGAGACTACAGTGTTACAAGGATAACTCGCTGGACCCTAGGAATGGGGTCAGCTGAGAGGGCAGCAGTGGGCTGTGCCCCTGACTGCTCTGGGGTCTGCTCTCTTCCCCACAGGCCCCCCCTTGTGCCTGGGCCTCTGCTTCCTTCTGCTTCTTGCTCTCAAATCCCCTCACACCAGCGCAAACCTGGGGTTGCCCTTGTACACCATGTTTTAGTTCCAGGCCCAGGGTTTCCTCAGCCACAAGGAATCACCTGCAGCTGTTCCTTCTCAGCAGGGCAGCGCTGCCATTGGCAGGCAACTTGAAGGCATCAGGGACTCTTTGGGGAGATTTCGCAATTCACCCTTTTCAGGATGCAAGTTGCTCTCGTGGTGGGTGAATCACACAACCAGGTCAGGAGTGGCTGGAGGGGAGGCAGAGTGTGTGGGAATGTGCAGCAGCATTGGCAGCAGGAGTGTTTAAGCAGAGCTCCATTCCAGGCCCATCCCTTCCGCTGTTCTGGGGGTGGCTATACTTCCCTGGGGCACACTGCATGAGAAGGCCATGCCATGTCCTCCACATGTGTCAGGGGTGGGTACGAGAGGAGAGGTGCCGACCAGGAAGTGTGTTTGATCTGAAGAGATTCAGAGATGTTCAAAGCTACCCTCATGCATGGTGTCCATAGTATACTTTCTATGCGCGAGTAACTTTAGCAGATGTCTCCTCTCTCAAGGAGCTTGGGAGCTCTAAAATCGCTCCCTTTGTCAGCTTTTGCAGTTGTGGAGCAGGGAGAGAATTCGGTGGACAGCCACTTACTGTGCACAGGCTTCCTCGTGTGACAGATGCGTGGTGTGTTTCCATGAACACGAAGAACATTATCACTTCTGCCGACACTGTCAATCTTTAACAATCAAAGATTGGCTTGGCAAGAGAAGTGATGCGGCTATGCAGATCTGTGGTTATTGTTATCGCATTGTTTACTGTAAACCTGGTTCAATATTGGTAAATATAGTGTAGCAGAAACTGAGCTGTGTAAGCTCACTGGGCACAGGTCCAAGATGCCATCAAAAATACTGCCTCAGACTAATTTGGGTTTGTGAATAATATTTTAACAGCTCAATTGAAATCGAGCCACATGGCGTGGCTTAAAAATTCTGAATCCACAAGATAATGAGAGTAGTGTGTGTGCCACAAACTGGGTATTCTATATGGGTGATAAACGTATATGCATTTTGTATTAACTTTTAAACTGTGAGCACCCACGTGCCTGCCGTGGTCTGTTATCTTCTAAGTTTACAAATACTGTGAATTTGCATGTCTTAAAAACTGCAGCATTGATTGATTCAGCAGTCAAACCTGGAGAATAAGGAGAGGCTGCCACACAAGTGTGAAGATAGTTGCTCGACACAAGTTTCGCCACACGGTTCTGCAGTTAACTAGGGTTTCCGTTAACATTCGCCAGAAAAGATCAAAGGACGTAAGGTTATTGGGAAAATTCAATAACTCAATTCATTTATTTTACTAACAAATTTTACTTTACAACAGGATTTGGACATTATAATGTTTGGTGATAAATTATTGGTTACACTAAGCACAATAAAAGGAATGAGGTTCTTCTGGGGCCAGTACTATACTGAGGACCGAACCCAGGACCTTCACACTGCGCCCTTTTATCTCTTCATTGTTTATTTTGACATTGAGTCTCACTGAGTCACTAAATTACCCAGGGTGGACTTGAACTTGCAGCCTGCCTGTCTCAGCCTCCCAGAGTACTGGTATTACAGGCTTGTCCTACTATGCCCATCTGGGATTGTTTTGGTAAGTGAGGTGTTTCAAGAGAAAAGTTTATATTTAGATAGTTCTTTCCCAAACACACATATTTGTCTTTTTCTTCCTGTGCTATTTTAATTAGTTTATTCTTCCTGAACATAAATATATAAATTCCCATCAAAAGGGTATGGGAAGGGTTTATTTCCTGTCATTGTTAGTGTATACAATATTTTCACTATGGAAAGATGTGCATTATTTAAAGGATGAATTTTAAATATTCCTCTTCTGAATAAATGTTTTATTTGTTTTTCAGGTTAGCACTCTATGTATATGAATATCTGCTCCATGTAGGAGCTCAGAAATCGGCTCAAACATTTTTATCAGAGGTACGTTTTATGTATTTTCTGCACTGAATTTTGATATTTTATATAAATGAATGGAAAATATACTGTAACAAATGTTTGAAAAATTGATTGTTATATATTATGTAGTGAATGCTCAGTTGTCAGTATGCATAATACAATTATGGTTGTTGATCATATTTTCAGTATCCTGAAGTGTGACTTCTATGCCACTCAGTAACCTCCTAGTCAACTTTGCAGCCATTTATTCTCCTTAGAAACAGAAAGTAGTCTTAGTGCAGCAAGAATAATAAAAAAAGACAATTTCCCTTAAAAATCAAAAATCCACCATACCTCTTTCTGACATTATCTTATTTTGGCATTGTTCAGTTTTGGAAAATGTGTTTTTTCTTCATTTTTGTTTGCATGGATAATAGTTGACTGATTGTTTTAGGAAACATTTTGATAAGCTTTTGTCACGTCCTTGTTTCTCCTTCTCATTTTATTCAACTTTGAATTTGAGCTTTCTTTCAATGGTATTTTTTTCTTCAATCCACATTATGATGATAAGGGCATTGAGTTTGTTGAGCTGTATTCTGTGCCAGACATATCACATGCCAAGATGCACTGCATGTCTTATCTTTAATTCTTTTAAGAGATTTGTGAAGCAGGTCGTGTTTTGCTGTTTATTGCTAATTGGGATGGTAGTACTCAGTACTCAGCGGTGCTCAGAGACCTTCCACAGGGACTCCTGGGCACGCAGTTCAGTGAGTTGTTGACCTGGAATTCAACCCTAGGCGGTGTTTGTGCCCTGGCCCCTGGTTTCCCTGGGCCGGGCTGTCCAGTGTGGCAGCCGATAGTCACGTGCACCTTTTGAGCACTTGAGTATAAGGAGTCAGAAGGTAAGTGCTCCCTCTGTGAGGTGCACGTTATATTCTGAAGGCTTATTCTGAACAAACAATATAAAACTTAATACACTTTATATTTCGATCACGTCTTAATGTATAGCTGTATATTAATATTTGGGTAGACTGCATAACTGTTTTGCTGAAGTTAGTTCTCCGCACTTTGTGGAATGATCAGAACGTGTGAGGTGGCACATGGGGCTCTTTCTGGGGCCCATGTCCTTGTCCCTGCTGGACGGTACTGCTTGAGCGTCGCTGTCCGGAGACCTCACAGGCTTGGGTTCTGTGGTTCCACTGCCACAAGGCTGCCCAGAGTGGCTCCCTGAGACGCATTTGCCTCCCAGACAAACACCGGAAAGGAACCCACAACCCTTGTCCTAGTCAGCCAGCGCGAATCAGCAGGCCATATTTACAGGTCAGGGATTTAGAGGTTTGGTGTGGATATGTCCACACTCAGGAAGAGAATGTATTCAGTACAATGAAAATGTATCAAATCAGAGCAGAGTTTGCTGTGTTTCTTGGCATCATTCTCCAGAGCCCGTGGGCCCTCACCTGCCTGCTCCCCGTGTGATGCTGCAGGGGGGTGGCCGAGAGAGACATTCATCGTGTTGGTGTTCCTAACCACAGCCAACTCGGACTACACTGAGAAGACGCCAAAGCCAGGCATGGCGATGTGAAGTTTTTATTTTAATGCAGATAAAAATGTGACGAAAGGATTTTCTGATCTCCTCTTTTTGTATCAAGGACTGTTTGGAATCAGGTCAGCTTGCTGGACCCTCAGGGCTTTCTGAGACTATATTTTTCTCACCGACATTGTATCAACACAGTGGTTATTTAATGTCATTTAAAAAGGAAAACGTTGCTAACTTATTTAAGGAACTTCAGATATTTGGGCTCAAATGAGTTATGTGGATTAAGCAGATAACTAAATTCTATAGTCCAGGCTCTGAGCTCATTGGAAAATGGATGTAAACAATTTCTAGAGCAGTTTGTTAGAATTTCCGAACAGATTTGTACATTTTGACAAGTACCTACCATGATTTTATTTTCTCTGGCTGCTTTTGGAATACATGGCTGATTGCTCTGAATTCTGAGTCTGCCTCAGTTTTACACGAGAAATCAGTTAAATTGAAAGCAAACTGTTGTCATCAGGTAGATGCAATGTTTCTGAATTTTGGAGAGATGAGTATATGGGATTCTCAAAGCTATTCCTTACACTCTTAATTGGTCAGACCCTGAATGACCCTGTGAAAATGCATCCTTATTCCTCAATTACCAATACTGGGGAATGACTAGATGAATTATGTAAGTTTTCCATAATGTAAAAGAGTAAGTTAGATCTATTTGGACTTACATAGATGGACTTCAAATCATTGACTAGCAGGAAGAGAAGCTGGAGCGCACCATTTATATGGGAACCCTTGAATATGAGACAATACCATGTATTTTGTGGGTAGTACATATTTATGAATGTAAGGCACAGTAGAATTCTGAAGGAATATGCCTACTAGACTAGTTGTTTCTCAAAGTTGGGTATTATTTCAAGGGATCAGGGATACCATTCCTCATTGCAGGATTTTGCCTATACTTAAAAATATAGTATGCACAAATACATATATTATGTTATGGTTCTTTAAAAAGAAAAGTAATGGAAAATCTATCCTCTTAAATTACTTGAGTTTAGACCTGGAAGCCTGGAGGTGTACTTGTGATGGCCCATTGCTGGCTACACTCTGCAGGTCTTAATGACTTCAGCTGCTCTCCCCTCCCTCACGTTTCTGGCTGCTGACAGGCTCCCTGCTGTGCTTGGCCGTCTGTACCCCAGGCCCCTGTCATCTGTGTGCACTCCAGTGTGCCCTGTTGGCCTAAACAGCCTCCTCCTCCTCCTGGCTTCCGTAGCAGTGGCCACTCCTAGGAGGGCTTTCTCCCTCTGAGGTCACGGTGCCTTCTGCAGGAGCCATGCACAAAGTCCTCTGCATCCTATCAGACAAGTCTGCACTTTATTTTCTTTCATCAAAGAGCTTTCAAAAGTTTTAAAGTAAAAGAGAACTCCATTAGGTCTGCACACTGGTGCATGTGTGATATTGTCCCCTAACTGTGGACAATAAAAAAGTGGAGTGTAGTTTTTTAAGCTCTGTGCAGGACCGAGGGTTACTCTTGCTCTAAATTTTACTTGGAACATGTGGAACATTTAAGGCTGCTTGTGGTAGGATGACCTTGCAACTGGATTAGCCATACTGAGCTATCTTATCTGAATCCTCCCTGCTGTATGCCCAGGTTTTACCTCATGGAGAACTGCTACAAAAGGAAATAAAACAGTGAGACCTATTTCTTTGTCTTATTATGATAAAAAGGAAATGGTTACAGTGGTTCCAATTATTCAGATATCCGGTGTTATTACTCTCGATCAACGCAAAGTAGCATACTTCTTCCAGTTTTGATGAATGGGGATAGGAATGACTGATATTAACGAGCTCTTTGGAGTCAGGTTTTACTGTGCTGACCGTTCTTTCTTCACTATGGACTAAGTGTTGGGTCTAAACTTGTGCAAAGTCAGATTGGCATTCCAGACACCATCTGAACAAGCAAGTCAGGTTTCTTAGCAGCCCTGTCTTCCTGGGTCTTAGCCTTTCTGAAAGTGGCCTCGACCCGCACCATCAGAAGTTGGACAACTCTTGGTGGCTTTTGGTATTGGTCAGATGAGGAGAAGACACAGTTATTATTAGCCCAAGTCTTTTTTCCTTTTCTTAATTAAAAACAAAACATTGGACAAAGTCGATATAAACCAGTTGTCTAACTAGGCTGTGCTAACTAGTTCAGTGTTAACTCTGATGCATAATAGATTTAAGCCACTACCTGAACCTTGAATACAGCTTATAAGACTTAATATTCTCAGTCATAAAGAGAGAAGATTGAATATTCTTTAGAATTATTCTCAGTACAATCCTTCTTCTGCTTTATTATCCTTTAACGTTCACCGACTACTGACTGAACGTTAAGATGTCTTTCCAGCTCAATATCAATTTTCGTTACTTTGGATTTATTAGAAGCTATCTTTTTTTCTGATTGTATTATTTAAATATACAAAGATAATTCTCATTTGTTCCTGAAATTCTGCATGGTATTTATGCCTCAGAATGAGACTTAATGTCCTTAACAAGTAAAATTAAGAATTTAGACTGTTACACAGATTATAGATTTTTCTTTCTTAAAAATTTTACATTGTTTATACTGTATTATTAGCCTTTATTTGTTGTACGTTAACCAACAAGTTAGCCTAAAATAGAAGCCTAGAGGCATAGAATGGACTGCTTCTTCCGATTTTACTAAGAATGCTATTACTGAGCCCCAAAGCCCCCGAAGTCCCACTCCCAGTCTGTCACCCATCTGAAGAGAGAAGAAATACTCATTATTTTCTAACCAGTTTCTTGAGCTTTCATTTGGAGGTGATATAGTGTAGTGTGTAAAAGGAATCGCTTTGGGCAGGACTGTCTGAATATGAATCACGTACTTTTAAAAAGCATGTGGTCACAATAGCACTTCGGAGTTGTGCAGAGGTTGCAGTGAGTTCATGCACATAAACTACTTGGAGTACTGCCTGGTATATAGTATGTGCCCCAAATGTTATTTTTAGAAAGCTTCTTGACCAGCACTTCTCTGTCTTGTATACTCTCTTCTTCCAGCGCACAGGTATAAATACATCTCCTGCGTGTGCACACGCGTGTCACTGGGGTGGCCCGCAGCCCTGCTGCCTTTATCACAGGCCCCCAGTGCTGTAGCCATCTCCAGGCCTCTCCTGCGTGTCCAAGCCCTCTTTGGGGTGCTGGGGCCCTGTCCTAATCCCTGGCCCTGCTGCTTCTCACAGCCCGCTCTGGTTTCCCTCTTGTGGCAGGTCCCTTTTCTGTGCCTGAAGTTTTGTTTCCTTCATGGCGTCAAAGCTCCAGTAACTCCTCGCTCTTGTCTACAGAAGATTACTACAGAAAGTTGGAACAGCCAAAAGGATTTAAGTACAGTATGGGCAACAACATTACTTTAATGATAATTAGGCACAACTGGCCCTATGTTTTCTCGTCTTTCTCAGAGAATTTCTCCCTAGCTGCTTTCCTGAGGGTGCCATTTGCATTGTTCCTCTGTCCTCTC